GTGGAAAGGGGATGAGGTTTGTTTTTAGTATGAGTGTTAATGGTATTTTATTAAGAGATAGTTAACAATCCATTAACTGGGCAGATGCTTGTCAACAAAAAAGGTTGTGTTGACGATCTGAACCGGAAAGGCTGGTGCCATATAACTGAGTATGAAAATACTTCATGTGAATACCTTCCTGTATGGTTGTGTACATATGTGAAGGAGGGCTCTGTCCCTATTGCAGACAAGAATGTCAACATTCAGTGATTCTACAAAACCTCAGGTTGTTATCAGTGCCATTTTTTTATTTTTTACACCCAATACTAGTTCCTGCACGATATGAGTAAAATTTGCGATGTGCAATGACACTGTTCAATTTTGCAATGACGATATTGCTTGCGATAAATAAACATATATTGTCGTTTGCATACATAGTTCTGCTGAATGAAGCTGAATCAAGAACACAGACAAAGGTCACTATCGGTCATTTCGGTCAGTAATGTTGCTGAGAGGGGGTGGGGGTGGGGGGTCGCTGTCTCAGGCAGTAGTTATAAGTTTACAAAAGTTTGTGGCAAATGAAGCTGCAGTCTAGTTTTCCTTTTAGCTTGGTCTGCGCTCATGTAAAACAAACCACGTTGGATAGAGAAATTGAAAATGAAGCTTTTTTACATGTTTAAACTTTACACTTTACACTTGCAGAGCTACGACTGTAGTTGTTGTCAGCTGCGGTAAAAAGTTCACTCCTAACTGGTCTACCCTGCCGCCTCTGTGCTGTACGCTGTGTGTGTGTGTGTGTGTGTGTCAGAGAGCAGCCCGGCACCAAATTGTTTTTGAAGAGCTCATCATCACTAAAGCATGTGTCATGTAGAGAGCTGATGAAAACAAATGAAATAGTCAGTTGTCATATTGACATTTAAAGTGTATTGATTGATTTTGAGACGGCAATCATGCATTGACTAACACGCAAGAAAACATTCTGTATTCTACAATATCTGCTAACGTTGCTTACTTTGTCTGTGGTTTGGGGCTGAGCAGGTAATGTACAGGGGGGCTTTTAGAACTTTTTGCCGAAAAACAGTTGCATGCTATGGCAGCATAGACATAATGAGAGTGACGAGAGTGAATCAGAACAATAAAGTTATGGGCCAGAAAACCAAAATAGTGATGAAGGATGCTACAAAGCTCCATAAAGCTAAGTGGATAATTTTAAATTCTGTTTGAGTTCGTCATACTTACAATGCGACTGTTAATTTCTGGTCTGTGACAGGAGACGAATCCTGGTGTCCTTCATGATAGTGTACCACATGTCAATTCAAAAGCCCAACCACAAACACCCTTAGATTTTACAATGTTGGCATTGTGATGTAGATTGTGAGATGCAGCCCCAGCTCACTTTCTCCACCCAGAGTTCTCGCTTTTACCAAGAGCAGGCTGCAGGTGCTATAAGCATAAATTCTTGCCTATGTCCATTATGCTTCTTAACACTAACATGTAAGGTAGATGTTGGCCCTAAAGATTGTGCAATAATTCACCATTGTTAGTAGGCGTGTATGTGTATAACAAACTGTTGTATATGTGTATGTGTGGGGAAGCCATGTGTTGTTAAGTTTTTTTTATCTTATCTTATCTTATCTTATCTGTGTGCACGGGCATGGCTGTGATTGTATGTGTCTGCTTGTAGGCTACACACACCCACCCCTGTGTACTTACTCTATTTACAGAGTCCTACAGTGTCATATCTGTCTCTTCCCTGTTTTGCCCTTGACTTTGACAACTACTCTCTTTACATCTTAGATTCTAATGTATAATGCTTCCTGAGTTATTTTATCCCCACGCATCACTCTTAAAGACTAGACAGGTATATCTAAAGACATCAACTGTCAGTGAAGAGATGCTTTAGAAAAGTGCACACCAGCAGAGTACGAGTTAAAGTGATGGGGCGGATAATAAAGATGTCCTTTGGGAGACTGTAAAAGACAGATATTAATATAGTCACTGAAGTACAGTATAGTGCAGTGGTTTCCTTGTCCTTGCATCAACCAGGTGCTTTTGTGACATTAAAACCTTTTTACATTAAAACCTTTATCTGTGAAAAATGTCCAGCTGTTATGAGCTTCAAAGACGACGCTTTTGCCTCTTATTCTGTCTAATTATTGAAACAACCATACATG